ACAGATCAAGTAACATGAATATTAATACCTTAAATAAAAACTTCCCAGCAGATGGGAAGGAAAAAAAAAAAAAAAAGCCCACATTTCATTTAGAAGTCAGTCTTCTCTCTAGAGAAGACTCTCCATTCCTCACCCCAAGAACCCTTAAAGAAAAAAAACACGTAAATGAATTTGCACATTATATTTCAAGGAACTATAATTACATTTCTTGCCTTCCTTATTTTTTTTTTCTTTTTTCTTTTTTTGTTTCCTATGAGATTTGCTTGCTTCTTGAGTTGGACATATGACCGAAGCAGAAAAGACGAGCAGAGGGAAAAATTCAGGTGAGCCAGTGGCTTTGAAAATGGCATCAACAGAGAATCTGAAGATACAAATTAGTCTATAAAGGTAGGGTGCATATGTTGCCAGAACTTGACCAAATTGTGTGAAGTAATCACATAAAGTGAAAATATATGTGAAGATTGTGGTTTTGGGTCAAGGTTAAAATCCTCTGTGAGCTCTTTAGTAAGCACAGGAGTCACCATAGAAGCTTTAGCTAAGCAGCAAAACCCCAGGAAATAACCAGTTGCATACTGGGACTTCCTTGGGTGGCTTGAAATCAGCCATGGTGAGTATTTACATCACAGAAATTGGCAAATGCTGCAAATCAGGGCTCCCCCCTCTTTTGGGGTGGGGGATGGGGCTAATTGACAATTTTACTACTGAAAACGGCTCTCCATGGGAGTTAACAAAACCCTTAGCACCTGTGACATATTCCTATAGCTTTGGTGAGGAGGGCTTTGGAGAATAAATGACTATTCTTTCAAAAGCAGAGCACTTCAAATCCCCATCTTAGTAAGACTTGGTGTTTTATTATTTCTCTTGGATTTCAAATATCTTCAAATCCTTATTAGGAAGGATTTTTCTAAAAAAATGGACCCTGCCTCACTTCTCTTCATTAAAAGCTGAAAGAAGTGAGAGGTAAAATATATAGGGGACAGGAAACCTGCTTTCTAGGAAGCAGAGTGATGTCACCTGATAAACTATGTGAAGTCTTTGGACCTGGGTCAAAGCCATGGAGAAACCAGACCTGTTTTTTTTTTTTTTCTTCTTGTGTGTGTGTGAATGACAGTGTTAAAGAATGTAACCCCTCTTAACTTCTCTACACCCCGTCCATACAAATTGCTTATACTGATACAACCCTTAGTGGCAACTCACTTCACACCTCCATTTTCTCCCTCGTTATCACCAAGATTAAACAGCATGTTTGGGCGATATTCTGCATTTATCTAAGCTTTTCCATACAGGCCACACTGACACAACAGACACAACACAACAGGTTTATGTACCTCACACGTCGGATCCTATCAAGAAGCGTGGCCCTGACAGTTTGATAAGAGCACCATAGCTTACTGAACTTGTTCTAAAAACAGCAGCAGCAAACCACTCATCTCCTCACTTTAATGACCTTGTTCTATGGTGTCCCCATTTTTAGCCTCAGCAGATGCATTGCTGTGTGGCCTCAGAGCATACTGGGAGCGGAGGGCATGTAACAATGTGTTTTTGCTATTACACCATTAATTAAAAATTCCAGAGAGATGCGCATTCCCTTCCATTACCTGATGGGAAAAGAGGTCTAGTGTTGCCAACAGGTTCAACCAAAGTGAAAAAATGGCTTGTCAGAAAAGTGAGAAAAAAAATTTCCAGCCAAGACCGGTTTGGCTCAATGGATAGAGCGTCGGCTTGGGGACTGAAGGGTCCCGGGTTCGATTCCGGTCAAGGGCATGCACCTTGGTTGCGGGCATATCCCCAGTAGGTGGTGTGCAAGAGGCAGCTGATCGATGACTCTCTCTCATCGATGTTTCTAACTCTCTATCTCTCTCCCTTCCTCTCTGTGGAATATCAATAAAAAATATATTTAAAAAAAAATTTTCCAGTTGTCCTGGCTGGGTGGCTTAGTCTGTTGATCTATTGTCCCATACACCAAAAGGTTGTGGGTTTGATTCCCAGTCAGAGCACATACCTATGGTAGGTTGCAGGTTCAATCCCCAGTCAGAGTGCATGTATAGGAGGCAACTGATAATGTTTCTCTCTCACATATATGTTTCTCTCTCTTCCCCCTTCCTTTCTCTCACTCTTAAAAAAAAAAATAATAATAATAGAAAACATATCTTCAGGTGAGAATTAAAAAAAAAAAAAAAAAGTTGCAGGAGTTGATTTTCTCTGCTCTCCAGAATGTCTAGCATTGCCACAGACAGTGAACAAGAATGCTAACAGGCTTCACTGCTTCAGGAAAACACCATATGGCAAGACAGAAAAGAAAAATAAGCCCAAATAAATGTCAACTTAGAATAAACTGCAAAAGGCTAACTTCTTACATGTTTTCATTTTTGTTTTTGTCTTTGAACTGATTTTTTTCTTCTTCAATTCATATGGCCCAAACATGCTGCTGTGACATTTCCAAAGACTTTACTATAAGCACATTTAATATCATACAGGATGGGGCAAAAGTAGGTTTATAGTTGTTTGTATGGAAAATTCTATAATTAATAAACAATAATCGAACAAATTGCATTTTGCATACGCACAACTACCGTTGCCCCACCTTGTATTTAACAGATAATTCATTACATTCTTAAAAAAAATGTTATTGGTATAATTCAGTTAAGTTCAAAGTGAATTTTATTATCATGGTGAAATTCTGCTGATCAGTTTCTAATCTCTGTGGAATTTCAGAACTTTCTGGTCTTTGTGAATAAATCAGGATAAGACACACTTAACCAACCACCTGAGGGTTTAATTTGTCTATTCTTGGGACAATCCCACACTGGTTTAGTGGGGGACACATTTTTTGAGGAAGAATGACACAAACAAATCAAGTGGTAAAAATACATTTCATAATAACTGACAGAGACTTAGCAAGTTTGGAAAACAGTTTTGTTTTGTGAATACCAAGGTTACAACTTTGTGATGAGAAGACAGGACACACTTCTAAACACTGGCTTACTGTTTGGCGGTTTTGAGATAAATCGCCCCACAGTTGAGGGGGCTGGCATTTCCCACTGCCCTATCCCTCTCCTCCTCTTTGAAACTTTCTGCTTCCTGAAGAGAACAAAGGGTTCTTGTTAGTATTGGGAGTCCTGTCTTCTCACCTCAGCTTCTAGATATGATAAAAAAAGAAAAAAAAAATGCCAAAACCGGTTTGGCTCAGTGGATAGAGCGTCGGTCTGCGGACTGAAAGGTCCCAGGTTCGATTCCAGTCAATGGCATGTACATTGCGGGCACATCCCCAGTAGGAGGTGTGCAGGAGGCAGCTGATCGATGTTTCTCTCATCGACGTTTCTAGTTCTCTATCCCTCTTCCTTCCTTTCTGTGGAAAATCAATAAAATATATTTAGAAGAAAAAAAAAGAAATATTTCAGGCATACCAACATGTATAGAGAATACTCTAATGAGGATTGAACACCCGCCCTCTACCTTAAGAAATAAAACACTACAGACACAAGGAAGGCTCCCTGTATTTCTTCTGCCTGCTCAGAGGTAACCACTATTTCCATACCTGCTACACATGTGTATATCCATAAACAACATATAATGGTGTGCTGTGCATTTTAAATTTTTGAACAGATGGTCTCCTTTTTCATATTATGTTTAAGATAAGCTAATATACATAGCTGGTTTATTGATCTCCACCACTACGAAGTATTTGATAGTATGGATATACAACACTCATTTATCAATTCTTTGGTTGACGCTTCAGTGTATACTCAGTACATGTCTCCTTGAGCAATGCGTGGGCATTTCTTTAAAGGCACAGACCTAGGATTAAATATTTTGAATCACGGGTAGGCACATCTTTAACGTTAGTAGGTACTGCCAATTCCAAGCACTGGATCACCTGCAGTGAGTCTCTTTAACAAGCTCTCAGGGGTTCAAAGTTTCGACTTCATTCCTCTGGAAGGGGGGAGAAGCGGGGGAAGGGCAGTGCAGCAAGAATCTGCATTTCTAACATGTCCCCATGTGCTGCTGCTGTAATGTCTGGGACTGTATTTTGGGAACTAGTGTTCTTAGAAAAAGCCTATTGGATGACATTTGAGAGAGAGCGAGCTGATGAGACACTATCTGAAAAGATGTCGCTGGTGAGGTTTTGTGAGGTAACTGAAAGCTAGCCTGTGGTATAATTTTAGCATTCCGATTCTAGGAATAAAAACCTGACTAAATATAGATAATATGTAGTAAATAACCCATGTGAGTGAGTGCCATCAAAGGCTGACTTCTCAATGAGCTGCTCTGCCAGAATGGGGCCCCTGCATGTCTCCTGCGGCTGCTGTGTGAGAAGGCGAGTGGGCAGGTGGCCCGGGTCAGGCAGCCCAGGGTCAGGCCAAGGTGTGCAGTGAGCTGGGCTGACAGTAGCTGTTTTCTTGACTGCATCAGTACAACCCAGGTGTTAGCCTTGATGCAGATGTGAACAGTCACGTGGGCGTTTCTCATAATCTAAGTATGGGCTACTGAATCCTACTGATTTGGCTATTTTGAGGTATTTATGTGAAGAAAAAAAAAATCAATCTTTATAATATATATATATATATTTTATTATATTCCAAAGTTAGTATCCTGATGACAGAATGCTGAAGAGGTTTTCCTCAAATATTCTTTTTGCAGGAATTTCTTAGAAAAAAAATCTCAAAAATGAAGCCTTCACATATTTTGGGGTAAAAAAAGCACAAGTAGGCTTGCACGGTCTGCAAATGGTTAACATGAAAACTGGAAAGAAAGTGATTTTATTTCACATTTAACAATATAAAAGGTCAATGCAGAATAAAAGTATGTTCCAGTAACCCAGAGGATGTGTTTGTGTCAGTCCACAATTTACATAACAAGATAATTGGTTTTCAAAACCAAACAAGATGTCAAAAAGACCTCTTCCCACGCCCTCAGTGGTGCTGCTGGGAGCAGTGACTGTTCTGAGGTCACGCACTGCAGGCGCACTTTCCCTTGTTCTGATTGCCAGTCTTCTCTTTCTATCTTCTTTCCTTTTTCTCTCTCATCAGCTTTTTGCTCTCTTCCCTTCTTCTTTTATTCACTGGATTCCGAGGATCATAGATTTCAAATGTGTCCGAGTCTTGCATGCTTGCATCTTTCACTTTTCTGCTTTTATCCTCAAACTGAAGTACATGTGACATCCTAAAGAGGGAGAGAGATGGTCAGTGACGGCAGCGCGGAAATTCTATACTTCCCCATCCTTGGCAAGATGAACTCTTAAGGGCACAGGACACGATGGATTTGTTTATTGGTGCTTGTGCCACACGGAAACCAACTTCTCAGAAAACACTTGAGTTTGAAAACCGTGTGTGTCGAGTTTGTTCTGCTGGCTTGTATTTCTAGTAAGGAGTGTCGCTGCCTCAGTTTTCACGTGGGGTTCTTTTCTGATGGGAGGTTAAAGACTTCTACACACAATGTTCCTCAAACTGAACTCCCGGAACGTGCTTCCAGCTGCCTTAAAGAGCTTACTTTCTTAGCTAGAGAGAGCCTGGCGGCAGACTCCTGACTCCTGACAATAAGCCACCCTATCTGATTTTTGTTTCATTTTGTTTTGAGTAGTTAAATGGATCAAGAATAGGTAATGTGGTAAGAAAATTCTTGTTCAAATGGTATTATGACTCCCTTTTCTGTGGAGTAGCTGAGTTAAAGAAATATACATATTTTTCATACAAACAGAAACTAAGCTTTTGGCACAGTTCCGTGGACTAATTTCCTCCTCCTCCTGTTGATTACAACAAATTTAACCACCCTGCTTTCCTGCTTTATCAAATGCTTGCTGGCCTTAAAGTATCAACATGTGCTTGACTCATAAGTGGTCATAAGCTGGCTATCCTTAGCCGTAGGGAATCATGTAGGCGATTAGCTCTGTCCCCATTAGGAGGTGTCAGGAATAAATGGGGAAGTCAAAAGACTAGGTTTCAGGGCAGTTGGAGGAGTTTGGAAAGAGGAAAGTTCAATTTTTATATGTAAACGAAACTACTGAGGCTTTCCCACTAGGCAGTTAAGCAATTTTTAAAATAGACAGACAAAGCACTTTCCTTTATCACAGAAGATAGGGCCAAATTGCCTATAGGATTAACACTCTGCATGCACCAGCTGTCAGTCTCAGATGAAACCCAAATATTACATTAGCTTCTTCCCCCCTGCAGTAGCACACATGCTGAGTGAAGCTTACTTTATGTGACAAATTCTTACGGATGCACCCAGATTCTAAAGAATCCTAAGAAGATTCTGGGAGGAAAGTAAAATGTTACAGTAGTAGCGATGCTACAATTACTCAGGATTCAGTAGCTGCAGTTCACCATGTGGGGTCTTACTACCAGGATTCAGTAGCTGCAGTTCACCATGTGGGGTCTTACTACCATTCCCATCCCTTTCCCCCAGACAAAGCTGAGTGGAACGCAGGTGAGGATAGTGATAATGATAGTGATAATAATGACTTAAGAGTTTCCTTTGTCTTACTGAGGTAGCTCGCATTTCTACAATTTATTATTAAAATACATGATTTGCATCAAATTCATAACTGAACTCAGTAATATAGGGTGTCCCAAAAATGTACACATACTTCGAATAATTGTAAAGGCAGTGCTTCTTAAAATACATCCCATTTTCAAACTGAGTCATCAGCAGTTAAAGTGCATGCCTTTTTGGGGGCATCCTGTATAGCAGTGTTTCCCAAACTTCTCTCATGACGAGAATCACCTGGTGGAGTCGTTAAACTACAGACTCCTGAATCCCAACTAAGAAGTGCTGACAAAAATTCAGTTTAGCACTTAGTTGGGATTCAGGAATCTGAAGTTTAACGACTCCACCAGGTGATTCTCGTCATGAGAGAAGTTTGGGAAACACTGCTGAACACTCCATCTCACATGGAAGAGAGAACTCCTGAGTTTTTATACCTCCTATTGCTTTAGTAAGCACCTGATTTAGAAAAACGCATCACAGGGTCCTTGCTTATTTAGAGGGATTCCTCAGAGACTGATTTTCTTGTGTCTTCAATTTCTTACAGTTCAAGCATTAGCTTATGAGAACAAAACAACTTCCAAATCCCAGAAAAAGGCTGGTTGTTCCACAGTGACCACTAGAACCAATTTGAAACATAATTACACCAGATTTAATCAATTAAAGATGACTTGCCTCGGCCTAAAGCACCTCGGTAAATACTTCAGTAAACACACCTCCGAAGGCCAACTATCAGTGACAGCCTAATGCTTCTGAAAGCTGGCCAATCAGTGGCGGACTCACTCCAGTGAACATGCTCCAGAAAACCAGCCAATCACGGACAATCTCTCCTGAATAACGTGCTTCTGAGGCTGATGTCCACTCCTAAGCAATCCCAAACCCAAAAATCTATATAAGGATTTGCAACCAGCTTTGCTCAGAGAGACTGTACCTCAAAGCACAGCTCTTTCTTGCTTCAGGAGGTAGTAAAGTCGGCCCTTTGTTTAACATATTGAGAGGTGGTCTTTTCCTCTGACACGTCTTACAATCTGTGCTGCATTCCCCACAAAGCGCACTGTTTAGAAATCATAAGTGTGCTACCACTACTGAGGACCAGATTCAGGAGAGTGGCAAGAGGGTCCTATAAAGGTCTCTGACCACACGTCAGGGGAGCCCACCCTACACTGCATTTCCGGAAGTGGTGAGTGCTTTCCAAATGACTCTTGTGCAGATGCCTAAGCCACCACCAGAATGTAGCTGGAATCATATGCCTTTTAGAATATTTTATTCAATACTCCTCTCCTATTAATAAAGAGGTAATATGCAAATTGACCCTCACACCCTCACAAGATGGCCACCCCACATCATCACAAGATGGCCACCCCCACATTGTAACAAGACGGCTTCTTCCACGTTGTCACAAGATGGCCAGCAGGGGAGGGCAGTTGGAGACAATTGGGCTGGCAGGGGAAAGCATTTGGGGGCAATCAGGCCGGCAAGTGAGGGCAGTTGGGGGCGATCAGGTTGAAAGGGGAGCAGTTAGGTGTCAATCAGGATGGCAGGGGAGAGGTAAGGGGACAATCAAGCTGGCAGGCAGAAGCGGTTAGGGGCAATCAGGCAGGCAGGCAGGTGAGCGATTAGGAGCCAGCAGTCCTGGATTGTGAAAGGGATGTCCAACTGCTGGTTTAGGCCCGATCCCGCAGGCACATCCCCCAAGGGGTCCCAGACTGAAGAAGGTGCAGACTGGGCTGAGGGACACCCCTCTAGTATTGATATAAAACATCAAAAGCCACTGTCTTAGTTAACTTATTAATACTTCTCCATATATGCATTCTTCTATAAAAAAATTATCGCTTTTTCTGCTCCCCAATACATATGGGTTTTGTGTAAGATCCATTTCTAGTAGGAACTGTCCATGTTTCAAAAATGACTTTGCCAGAATTTGTCAATGAAAGCCATAATAATAAGGCACTTTCCTCCTTTCTATGCCATAAGAGAATCGTGCAACTATTGGACTGCACTGGCTCTGGTCTAAGAAATGACATCTAGACATGAGAACACAGTACAAAGCCCAGACACAGAAACAGATTTGCTTACAAATCTGAAAAAACAGAAAGCCGTAAATTAAAGTAGCTGTCTTTTTCAACTGTTTGTTTCAGACACCACTGCACTAAACAGGTCCAACGTTTTGATTAATAACAAACTTAGACCCAGAGGAAAGAAGGGGCTATCAGCTTACACACTCCTTCAGCTTTAATATCATGATACTTAGCAGGGCTGGTTACTCAGCAATAATATTTAATCTTTAATAGAAATAAAGGCATAATCAAAAATGTTTCACCCATTTATCTTTCAACATGCTTCAATCACTTCATTTTTGAGAGCAAACAAAACAGTTATTATGATTTTCAGCATAATAAACTCCTGACCTATGTGCCTCCATAAATCACAGACTGCGCGGACTGAAAGCATGCCCACGTTTTACAGACTCCGGTGAAAATACACATGCAGACTTGTAATACAGACCCAATTCCAGTGCATTGGGTCTGGTAGTTTATAGTCTTGTATGTATCGACAACTCAATACTATCCACTCTGTGGCTGGTCATGGCATTGGCCCAATAAGAGCAGTGAATGTATTGGAATTACACACTGATCATTTACGTATGAAAAATTTTAAAACTTGTTCACTTGAAGGCAAAGACAGAAATTTAGCTCTTTATTAAAAGTTTTACATAAGCTTAGATTCTCAATAAGAACACTGACTTGAGTGTGTTATAGAAATACGGAGGGTTACCATTGTTACAAAGGCTGTGCTGAACAGGTAAGTGTTTTTGGTCAGAGACTGCGTGGGCTTACAGACAAAAATTAAACAGCCGAGTCTCTTAAAAGAAACCAGACTTTTACTGACCTCAGGAATTTGACAACCAGTTTTTAAACTTCTTACATAGTTGTGAAAAATAGATGAAGATATTACAGCAATTAATAATGGGAAACACATTCTCAGATGTATAGTAAATCAATCAAAATAGAATTCCAATATTAACAATTCACTTCAGAATGAAACGTATTTGAATTATTTATGCTTCTATAATGAAAATGGCTATGTTTTTCACTGGGAAGTCTATAAACCACTCCTTCCCATTTCCAAGTCTCCCTAATTTAGGAACTTAACACCCAACCCTTAGAATGTTATAGGTGTCCTAACTGTTCCGCACTATTTCTTCTTTTTATAATCTTTCAAAGGTTCCAAAATAACCTTTCCTGCATGTTTCTTTTACAGTGTTCTTTTGGGCAGGAACTATTAGCTATTGTATTGACTGAAATCTCAGCCTAACCCTTAAAACCTTCTAACAATGGGATCTTCCTATCTCACCAACCTCTTTTTCCTTTCGTTCATCAGCTCTCAGCATTCTGTAATTGCCTGTTTACTTAATTTTGAAAAGGCTGTCAGTTACTCGAGACACCGTGAATCTTGTTCACAGCTGTATCCCCAGTGCCAAGAATGGCGATTGGTGTGAATCAAAGTCTTCAGAACCTCTGTGTCGGCCAGGCCTGCTGGCTGGTACTCACTGGTTTGCTAAACTAACACCTGACCCTCCTTTTGTGGGCAGAGGCTGTCTTTTATTTCTCTGATGCACTTATGAAATGTCTCACAGGTTCTGCAGAAAGTCCCACGCTCGGCACAAGCCCACCTTCCCA